AACCGTGGTAGCTAGATCCAGTGCTGAAGCTGAGTACCGTGCAATGGCACACGGAGTAGCCGAAGGTACTACATGATAAAACAAAGCACATTGAAGTTGACAAGCACTTTATCAGAGAGAAAATCATCACAGGCGAAGTATGCACTCCATACATCAGCTCTGAAGACCAACTAGTAGACATCTTTACAAAAGGGCTAAACCATTCCAGACACCAAGGTCTCTGTGACAAGTTGGGTATGATTGATATCTATGCCCCAACTTGAGGGGGAGTGTTGACAAGTGTATTATATGTACTGTACACAGGTTTAGTGCCTGCAGGGGTATTTTTGTAATTTTGTAGACCTCTTGTGTTGTACGGCCAGTATTGTATAAATACAAATGCTTCCTTCTTTCCTTTCTTCTTCTCCTTCTCCTACTCAACACATATATTATGATATTTTCTAAAAAAGGTTTACAAACGGTTTTAATCCCAGGATCTATCTAAGTAGGGGGTATGACTGCATTTTGCAGTCAGGGAAGAGGTCCTTCCTTTTGAGCAGTGTTTTGATTATTAAGGGATGAGAGGTCCTTCCTTTAGGGCAAGAGACCATTAGAGGACTGATAACTTAATGGGCTTTATCTCATATCAGTTCATCATCCTTGGATTTCATAGGGTAGCTGAACCCGAGAATCACTTATACTTATGTGTTGGGCCCAAATTGAGCCCAACTTGTTTGGCTCAGGGGTCACTGTCCTCGTGCAGTGAATTTGGCCTGTCTCTTTCTAAACATAAACCAAACCCATATGGACTTGTGTGAGACCTTTGTAGGTCCCACGTCATACAATAATCAGGCTTAAGAGGTCATGCAATGCCTATGCATGTGAACTATTAAAGAAAATGGGCCTTAGGCTCATTACTAGTATGACTGGTTAAAGAGGTCACATGACAACTTGTCATGTGATATGGGTCGAATTTGGGTACGGAAATGGCTATGAAGCTCCATTCTTATGAGCGGATTAAGTCCTAACACAAATCTGATTTGGGTTAAGATCTAATCCAATTAGGATAGAGATCTATATAAGGGATTAGAGAGGGAGGGCAAACCATGCATTCTCACTTCCCTCTCTTGCTCTCTTTCTCTTCTCCCTTGCACCCAAAAGCCCTTCAAACCGACCATAGTGAGGGCTGATTCCCATCAGTCCTCCGCTATGTTTTTGAAGAAAAACATCAGAGAATATCAGGTTCACATAGCTGCATCAAGCCCAAGCTAGTTGGAGCTCAATTTGTCTGGAAAGGTGTTGCTCAATCGATTTCACACATACAACTACGCCATCTTCAGTTGGAGGTCGATTTGGGTTTGATATGGGTGTGAACCACCACTTTGGGAGCTGCATATTGTGGACTTTGTATCAGGTATTTTTAGTTATAAATTAGGGTTTCAAATCTGGTCCAAGTTTGGTGCAAGATTGATCCAAAAAATCAGATTTCAAAACACCGAAAAATCGATTCTCGGGTTGGGTTGGATTTTATTTTTTATTTTTTTAATTTCGGTCAGCAACCGTGACTGGTTCGACCATGTTTAATCAAGCTTTCAGTCCTTAGAATATCAAGAATGAAACTCAAACCTGAACCACACCCACAACCATATAGAGTAGCTTGGGTAGATAAAACTTCTTTACCCATAACCTAGAGGTGTTTGGTTTCCATCCAAACTGGTGATTATTCAGACAAGATATGGTGTGATGTTCTACCTATGGATGTTGCTCATGTCTTATTGGGGCATCCATGGTTATTTGATATGAATATTACCCATTATGGATGACCAAATACATACATCATCAAACTCGATGGGAAATCTATCCTTGTGAAACCAACTAAACCATCTGAGAAGGATAGATACAAAGAAGATGCTAGGTTTGCTACTATAAAGTTAGCTATAAATTCACTTGAGATCACAACCCTATTGAAAGAATTCCAGGATGTAGCCCCAAAAGAGTTGCCTAACCTCCCACATTATAGGATGAATCTAAAGGAGCATATTGAATTGTAACGACAAGTGGATGAACTTTTAGAAAGAGCTTTCATTCATGAGAGTTTAAGTCCATGTGTTGTGCCAGCCCTATTAACCCCTAAGAAATATGGAACTTGGAGAATGTATACTGACAGTCGTGCAACCAATAAGGTCATAATTAAATATAGATTCCCAATACCTAGACTTGATGATATGTTGGATCTCATGGTTGGCGCACAATGATTTTATAAGATTGATCTTTGAAGTGAGTATCACCAAATTTGTATTAAAATTGGTGATGAATAGAAGACTGCTTTTAAAACAAAGGATGGGCTTTATGAGTGACTAGTCATGCCCTTTGGCTTGACTAGTGCGCCTAGTACTTTTATTTGATTTATGACTCAAATTTTCTGGCCCTTTTTTGGAAAATTCTTGGTGGTCTATTTTGATGACATTTTAATCTACGATCATTCTAAAGAAGAACATCTCCATCACCTTATTGAAGTTCTTGGAACATATCAAGCTGAAAATCTATATATGAATTTGAAGAAATGTCTTTCCAATACACCTTGGAAAGACACCTTGCATTTCTAAAGAAGAACATCTCTTAAAATTGTCTTTCCAATACACGTCGCATTTCTGACACTTTGAACCTTGGCTGCAAGCACTCCGATTAAATAGATTGAATTTATTCAAGAATACAAAATTGTCCTAAAACATTGTGCGAGTGTTGAGAGTAAACTTGCAGATGCCCTCAATCGTGTACTCATTGTCCTCCAAACCATGAGCATCAATGTGATAGGTTTTGAAAAGTTGAAAGACGAGTATCCTTCTGGCCCAAATTTTGGTCTCATTTTCCATGATGTGCAAAGTGGCAATCGACACAATTATCATTTCCCATTGCAGAATTTTCTTATAACAATTCAGTCAATTGATCAACTAGAAAAACACCTTTTGAGATTGTCCATGGCTTTACTCCTTTGTACACCTACTGACCTTGTTCCTTTACCTCTTGATGCTCGTACTTTTTCTTTTGTGGATTCTTTTGCCCAACATCTCCATGATTTGCATGCCAGTATAAGACGAAAAATTGCTTTAAGTAATGAGAACTATAGATTTGCTGCACATCGTAGAAATCAAGAATTCAATGAAGGATATTATGTCATGGTTTGTGTACATCTTGAGCGTTACCCAAACTACTCCTAAAGTTATATGCCTGAGCCAATGGCCCATTTCACATCATCTGAAAGATAGGACCTAATGCAAATGAACTTGACTTGCCTTTGGACATGGGATTTAGCTCAACTTTCAATGTGGAGGATTTGTTTCCGAATTGAGGCACCATCGAGCCTCCTACTCTACCTGCAAGTGTGCCCACAACCACTACTTCACCTTCGGTACCTGTACCTGTTCTGCCCCGAGTATGGTCTTCACATATCGAGCAGATCAAGAGTATTCTCCAAGATGAGATTACCACTTCTAGACTAGGTGGTTATCAGCATTGTCTTGTGAAATGGAAAGGTCATCCTGATACCGATGCTACTTGGATTTTAGAAGAGGAACTTCGTCACCTAGACCTAGATCCATTGGAGCAGTATTATTCCCTTATCTCTCCTGAGGAAAGTTCTTTTCTGTCGAGGAGAATTGGTGGAGATCACTTTGAGACCAAAGCGCCACATAGAATTCATACTTACTTCAGGCATAGACGACATTAGTTTAGAGTTTACTTTTGATTAATGAAAAATTTGGGTTTAATTGTAAAATTTCTTCTTAGTAGGGGTTTTTGTAATTTTCATATTTGGTAGGGATTTAATTGTAATTTTCAGTTTCTAGGTTTCTTATAAATTTACATTATATGTTAGGGTTGTATTATGTTATGTTTTGAAGAATAGAAAATTTTGAACTCTCTTTTTCCTTCAACTTGTCCTCTCTCTCTTTCTCCCTCTTTTCTTCTAACAAGTGGTGCTGCACCACTTGGAGCACTAAGCACTTAACACACTCATAGTTGAGTTACTGCCACACCACAGCACACCTCATGCACCAAACAGTCACACATTCCAACTCTCCCTCTTAGTGTTGTGGCAAGGAGGGAGCTCAGGAAACCACCAAGAATACAATAACTGTCACCACTTGAGGCTTTAAAGCCTCCTTTACTAAAGGGTGATCAGTCCTTTCAAGGTCTTTTCCTTTCTAAAAGGAACAAATGGAGTTCTGTCATCCTAGGGCACACAATAGGCATGAAAAGCAACGAGGTCAACCCCTACAGCTCTAATACCATACTATAGAAAGAACAGTTAAAAAAAGAGAAGAAAAAGGTGAGAAAACAACAGTAGAAAAGTTCAGTTGAGAGAAAGTAAGAGAAAAGAAGAGAAAATGAGATGAAAAAGGGTTTTCAAAAGAGAAGAATTGAACATTTTCTCTCTATCTGTCGACCCAAGGAATGCTCAGCTTCTAATATATTGACCGAAATTACAATACTACCCTCAGTAAGACATCTATAACAAATAGACTAGAAACAAAGGAAAACACTGATAAAACTGCCCCTATTGACTATAACAGGGTGAAGAGCAACTTTTTTGTTTTTCTTTTTTTGGGATCAAAGATATGAAAGTGGTATTGACTCCCAATTAGATAGCTCCCCTATTGTAAAATTCACCACCAGACCTCTATTAAGCAATCTTTTATGATGTCCCAAACATAAATGTTTGTATCTCAATATCAATATAACATGAAACAATTGACAAGAAATAGACTTGAGAAAAGAATGTAGGTGGAACATTTAAAGAGGAAATTATTAAGAGTTTTCTATTATTGGAAAATTACCAGCTTCGCTACCAATTTCAAAGAGCAGAAAGAGTATATACGAAACCATTGATTTGATGCACAAGAAAGAAAAATATGCATATCAGCTATCAAAGAGGCATATCTGTTCAGGAATATTATTTAGCTGGAAATTGCTGTTTCTAAACAAAACCAAAAGGAAAAAAGGATCTACTATCTAATATATACATCTTGCTCCAAAGCTAAACGGCGTTCATGCAAAGCCTTCTTTCGTCTTTCCAGACTTTCTTGAAGAATAGCATTCTCTTTTGCCTAGAATGGAAATAGATGGATATTAGAACAATATTCCACAAGTAACATCCTACAACTTTGAAAGAACTATGAACTGTAGAAGGACCAACCTCTTTGGCAATTTTATTTTGCAGTTCAGTTTTAGTGTCCTCAAGCCTCTGAATTACAATCCTAGATGATTTTCAACAATCAGATGAACAGAATAAATAGGGTTATGTGGTAGAATCAAATTTAAGAAAGACTAATCTTATAAAGTGATAGTCCCAAATAGATTCTAATGATGCCACAAACAAATCTAATACAAAGATGACAGTTATGAATTCAAAGAAACACACACAGCATTAACAATATTAGTGACAGAACTCATCTGACATATGGTTCCTAGGTTGACAGTTATGAATTCAATCATTTGTCTTTGTAGAGAAGATGGGCCAAATGGCCCATAACCCACAGCTTATGTTTATGTTTTATGTTATGTTTAGTTTTATGTTTGTCTTATTCTGTTAATGGGCCTTCTCTTTATGGGCCTGTTAACATTAGTTTATGTTTATGTAATTAGCTGCCGCACAACTAAGGGCTGTACGAACAACTCATCTCTCTAAACCCTTCTCGCATCTGACTTCTTCTTCTTCTTCTTCTTCTTCTCCTTGCTGTTTTCTCTTTTTTATTTCACAATTCTTTAATCAGTCCTCTCATTCTTTTGGGACTGTTTTTCTTCTTGGTATCAGAGCAGGTCCCTTTTTTCTTCCTTTCTCCTTTTTCTTTTTTTTCCCATACACAGTGTGTATGGAGAGCTGAATCGAATGAGTGATTGAAGAAAGTATTCAGCCCAGTTGGTCGTGGTTTTTTGGAGAAAAGGAAGATGTCTAGTTCATTATTCTGATAGTCTTTGGAGTTTTTTGCCCAAAACCCTAATCAACTGGAGAGTTCTGATTGCAGGTCCCATAGGGAGCTTCTTCACCTTGGCGCTCAGTGACTAAAGGGGTCCCATTTCATTTTCTTGAAGATCAATCCATACCTAGTACAGTTCAGTGAAGCCTACAGGGAGCGGCTGCAGTTTTCCTATTTCTCATGGGTTCCGGGTGAGACACAGCTGGCGGCTAGGGTTTCGTAAAGGTTGATACTTGGTGTCTATTTTTTCTGTCTTCATTATTTCCCATTTGAAGTTGTTCGAAGTTGTTTTTGAGGAAAATGGATGTCTTTGGAATGGAGAACAAGTTGGGCTCAGAGTCCAGACAGGTTCCAGTAGCACCTGGAGATTCTTTATTGACTGTGACCACAGTCAAGCTTGATGGGACTAACTATCGAGCATGGTCACAATCAGTAAAGATAAATGTTTGTAGTAGAGGCAAGTGGGGATACATTTCTAGGAGCAAGAAAGCACCTCAGGAAGATGAACCATTGTATGAGAAATGGTTGCAAGAGAATTACACTGTTATTGGGTGGTTAGTGAATTCGATGCAACAACAAATTAGTCAGCACTATTTGTGGATGAATTCATCTATGGAAATTTGGGATAGTGTTGCTGAAACCTATTCACAAAAACTTAATGTGGCCAGGGCATATAAGCTAAGAAGTGATGTGAATAATCTAAGGCAGGGGGAGAGACCTTTAGCAGTATACTTCTCAATACTGAAATCCTTGTGGCAAGAAATAGATCTCATGGAAACAGTTGTCTGGGAAGTACAAATGATGCTGAGACATACAAAAAATTAGTTGAGAGGAATAGGGTTTTTGAATTCCTGACGGGGTTGAATCTAGAGTTCGATATTACTAGACAAAATATCCTAGCTAAGGATAATGTATCCTTGTCTCAAGCTTATGCCATGGTGAGCAGTAAAGAGAGAAAGAGGATGGTCCAGGTTCAAGGGACTATTCCGGGTGACCACTTTGCTAATATGGGGCTGAAACCTAAGGTGACTACAAGTGGTACAGGGAAGAAGGAGGTTATATGTGAGTACTGTAAGTAACCCTGACATACAAAAGATAAATGCTGGAGCTGCATCCAGATCTTATTCCACCTCATTTTCAAAAGAAGGTTGACAATGGGAAGACTGGAAGTGCCAATACAGCCACAATTTCAGACAATGACAGGTGTTCTACAGATGAGAGGGCTGCTAGTGAGGCTGTGATGAAGGCAGAATATGAGAAATATGGGAGGATGATTAGCCACCTTGAGAGTGTAGCCACTTCCTCCAACTCTTCATCCAATCCAACTACATCTGCATTTGCTCATTTAGGTATACGTGCTACCGCCAATCATACAACCATCTCAGGTAATCGTAGGATCCCTTGGATTATTGACTTTGGTGCTTCTGATCATATGACCAACATTTCCACTCTATTTAGCTCTTATGATTTGCTTTCTGGCCGTGATAAGATTACCCTAGCCGATGGCTCTCTTGCTTCTATCTCTGGCAAGGGAGTCATTAAGGCTACATATTCCCTTTCTCTTTCTTCTATCCTTCATGTCCCTAGACTGCATAATAATTTGATGTCCATGGGTAGCCTAACTAAATCCTTAAACTACATTGTAACCTTCTTCCCTTCTTATTGTGTTTTTCAGGACCTGAAGTCTCAGAAAGTGATTGGGAGTGGCCATGAGGCGAATGGAATATATCTGTTGAATACTCCTGGACAAAGCCAAGGGCAGCCTGAGAGAGTTGCTTTTGGGTCTACTTCTTCAGAGTCTTCTAGTCGTGTCATGTTATGTCATTTTCGTTTGGGTCATTTATCCTTTTCTGCTTTGAGTCATTTATTCCCATAATTGTTGAAGGGGATTAACTTGTCTAGTCTTTTTTGTGAGTCTTGTGAATTATCAAAACATTGTAGAAGCAATTATCCTTTGAGTAATAAAAGGCCCACCTTTCCTTTTCATATTGTACACTTTGATGTGTGGGGGCCATACCACTTACCTTCTATGGGTGGCTATTGATACTTTATTTTGTTCATTGATGATTTCTCCCAGTATACTTGGTTATTTTTTATGAGATCTCGTGATGAAGTTCCCAAGCTTGTAAGACATTTTCATGAATTTGTTCTTACCCAATTTGATACAAGGATCAAAATATTCAGATCCGATAATGCAAAAGAATATTTTGAAAAGAAAACCTCTTATCTTACTGGCTTTGGGGTCATCCACCAGAGCTCTTGTGTTCGTACTCCAGAACAAAATGGAGTAGCTGAAAGAAAGAACCATCATATAGTTGAAGTTGCAAGAAGCATCTTGTTTGCCTCACATGTTCCTACAAAGTTCTAGGGGATGTTGTTCTCACTACAACCTACCTAATCAACCGTATGTCATCCAGAGTTTTGGGCTTTAAGTCTCCTTTTAACCTTCTTTACCCAGATAAAGACCTTTTTTCTCTTCCTCTTCATATCTTTGGCTGCACTTGTTATGTACGCATTTCTAGTACCCAGAAACACAAATTTGAACCCAAGGCCCATAAGTGCATCTTCCTTGGTTATGCCTCCACACAAAAGGGTTATTGTTGCTTTGATCCTAGTATTGACACTCGATATATCTCAATGGATGTTACCTTTGCTAAGTCCACTCTTTTCTATGGTTCACCTCAGGAGGAGCATCGTTCCCAGGGGGAGTATTTGTCTCAGTTGTTTGCATTTCCTCTTCCTATTCTTATTGAGTCTCCTTCTATTCCTAATGAGTCAAGTTCCAATGTTCCTAATCCTCCTCCATTACCTCCTCGTCCTCTTTTTAATCCCAGGTTGTACCAACGACAAAGGACCAGGAGTGAGCAGATTGTTTCCTTTACATCACATGAGCCTCCTACACTTCCAGTTGTTGAAGAGACAATAGGTACTGATACCACCACATTGCAGCCTCCCTTCCCAGATCTTGATGTCCCTATTGCTATTAGAAAAGGTAAACGGAAGTATACTACACATTGCATTTCCAAACATCTTTCCTATGGCCTTCTTTCTCCTTCATATTATGCCTTCCTTTCTTCTGTTGCTTCTAACCCTATACCCAGGTCTGCATCAGAAGCTCTTACTACACCAGAATGGAGGGATGCTATGAGAACTAAGATAGAGGCTCTGCACAAGAATGACACATGGGAAGTGGTTGATTTGCTTGAAGGGAAGGAGCCAATGGGTTGTAAGTGGGTGTATACCATCAAATATCATGCTGATGGATATATTGAGAGGTACAAAGCTAGATTGGTTGCAAAAGGCTATACACAAACTTATGGGATTGACTATCTGGAAACTTTTGCTCCTATTGCAAAGATGACATCTGTACAGGTTCTGTTATCCTTGGTAGCTCATTCAGACTAGCCTCTTTATCAAATGGATGTGAAAAATGCATTCTTGAATGGAGAACTACATGAGGAAGTTTATATGTCCCTCCCACCAGGGATGTATGGTACAAATATGAAGGGAAAAGTGTGCAAGCTGAAGAAGTCTCTCTATGGGCTCAAACAATCACCTAGAGCCTAGTTTGAGAGGTTTAGGGCTGCTCTTGTACACTTTGGTTACACACACTCAGTCTGACCATACCCTCTTTGTGAAGAGGAGAGGTTCATTGGTAGTATACCTTATAGTCTATGTGGATGATATTGTAGTGACTGGCACTAATGTAACAAGGATTGATGAACTCAAATCCTTCCTTCATATAGAGTTTGCGATCAAAGACCTAGGAGAGTTGAGGTACTTCCTAGGTATTGAAGTGGCTCGATCTAAGGATGGAATCTTTATTTCTCAATGCAAGTATGTGCTAGACTTGCTCACTGAAATATGAAAATTGGGTGCAAGACTAATGGCTACTCCTATTGATATGAGTCACAAACTTTCTGCCACTAATGGAGAACTGTTGAAGGATAAGGGAGTGTTTCAAAGGTTACTAGGGAAACTACTATATTTGTGTATGACTCGCCCTGACATTGCATATGCTGTTAGCTGCATTAGCCAGTTCATGCATGCTCCCAGAGATTCATTCACATATGGCAGCAACAGAGAGGGTTCTACGTTACTTGAAGAGTACTTCGGGGAAAGGCATTCTTTTTTCCAAACATGGTCATCTACAGCTAGAAGCCTATACAGATGCTGACTGGGCAGGTAACATTGATGATAGGAGGTCAACTTCGGAATACTGTAGTATGGTGGCAGGTAATATTGCTTCTTGGAGAAGCAAGAAACAATATGTGGTTGCTAGATCTTCAGCTGAGGCAGAATATAGGGCTATGGCCCATGGAGTTTCTGAGTTACTTTGTCTCCGATCTTTGATGAAGGAACTAGGTGTTAAGTATGATAAACCACTAATGTTGTATTGTGATAATCAGGCCGCCATTAACATTGCCCACAATCCAGTGCAACATGATAGAACTAAACACATTGAAGTTGATAGGCACTTCATCAAGGAAAGAGTGACTTCTGGAGAAGTTTGTCTACCATTCTTCTGAATAACAGTTGGCTGACATTCTTACCAAGGGAATTTCAAAGGCCAAGCTTCAACATGACACAGGCAAGCTGGGCATGATTGACATCTATGCTCAGCTTGAGGGGGAGTGTAGAGAAGAGGGGCCGAATGGCCCATAACCCACAGCTTATGTTTATGTTTTCTGTTATGTTTAGTTTTATGTTTATGTTTTATTCTGTTAATGGGCCTTCACTTTATGGGCCTGTTAACATTAGTTTATGTTTATGTAATTAGCTGCCACCCAACTAAGGGCTAACTTGTAAATTACTTAAAGTTAGTGATTAAGTTAATGAAGTAGATTAGGGAAAGGAGAGAGCTGTACAAACAACTCATCTCTCTAAACCCTTCTCACATCCGACTTCTTCTTCTTCTCCTTGCTGTTTTCTCTTTTTTATTTCACAATTCTTTAATCAGTCCTCTCATTCTTTTGGGACTGTTTTTCTCCTGTCTTGTAGATCTGCTTCTCCCTAATGTTTTGTTCCATCAATGCATCACAAGCATACTACAAAGCTAGCAGTCTAAGCAGGAAAAGTCACATTTTAAGTACTAAGTTCTGAGATGGAATCACAAGTTGCTATACAAACAAGATGCAAGAAAACCAAGGACACTTGCTTTATGCATGTAAACAAACACTTTAGGCAAGTCATTGATGCATCACTTACTCCTCATCTTCAATAACATAGTCAAAGGATTCCATGGAAACGTTCTTTCTAGCCTGGAAAATCAAATAGATATAAGAATGTCAATTACCAATTGCACATGGTAGGTTATATAGTTACATTAGAAAAATATAAAAATAATAATAGAAAAGTAGTAAAGCCATATTCAAATCAAATCTAAGGGATGGGTATAGAAACATCAGAAATACAACCTCACATCACGAATACTGGGAAATATAAATACTCACAGGGGTACGTCCAAAAAGAGTTCGACGTTTGGAACCAAGCACTGTTTCATTCTGTTTATTTTGGGTTTTTGTAATGGAGGAGTGACTATGATCAATTGACTCATTGATAGCATTTAAGGCAGGGATATCCTCCAATGATTCACTATCAGCATGCACCACTGCACTAGTGTTACTTGAATTTTGCAAATTGTCACTACTTTGTACATTATCGTGCTTTGGCAATGAATCTTGAGGTCCATTTGATGTCTTCTGTTGAACTTCAAGATATTCACTGGATAAAGAAGGCTTAGAGTGTAACTCAGAACCTTCAGAAACCTGTATCCAAAATAGGAAATTTTGTAAATATGGCATGAGAAGAGGCAAAAGAAAAGCAGCAAATAGAATGAAATAGAAGAAAATCCAAAGATGGACCAAGCTCCAAATTTCAGTTGACAGTAAATGCGGGATAGCAGGTGTTCATTCAGCTTTGGATTCCTTTATTGCAACCAAACTTGATCAACAGAAAGATCAAGTTCTGTTCTAATGATCCCAAAATAATAAAATTCAATATTGGAAGTGACATTTTCATGAGGGTGAGCAGTTTTGGAAACTACGAAAATTGATTAAACTCTTGTTGTTTGAACTGATATTTTTAAGGTTACATGTCACCCCATTAGAAACAGGTTATGTTTAAAATTTCCTGAATATGAAGTATCTTGGGTGGAAGTATTTAGAAAGGCTGCAAACAGTTAACGTGAAAAGCAGCTATTAATTGTTTCATCAACAAAATTAGTAGCCCCATTTCCGCTTCTTCCTCTGTTTTACTTTGGTTGCACTCAAGAGCTAGTAAAAATCCTACTCAGTGCTCTAGAGTTCTGTGGTTTTATATCATATTTTGATTCAATATATAAATCAAAACAAGATTAGACACATTAATTAGCACCCCTTTGCAAATTGGATAGTCAGGAAAGAGATCAGTCATTTGAAACCAATCAATTGGAGGCTCATGAATAAAAAGAGAAAATTCGTCAATATTCATTATGTTAACTAAAAACCCTCCAGTATTAATGAGCACCAAATGAATGTTATGGGCAGTAAAAATATGTCAGAACAAACACGGCCAAAAGATTCCAATTATTGATGAGTTAATATCACCATCTTAATATGTCAAGGTGTCCATGTTAAGTATAGGAACGAGCCTTATCATCTCCATTGCTACTGTGTTCACTGCTGGTTTCACTTGATGCATGTTCAGGATCATCTTCCCTATTCCCATGTTGTGAATCATGGAACCCACCATCTTCAACTGTCCCATCGTCATCACTTTGCTCCTCATAATCACTGCCATCCTCCATATCAGAATATAATTCTGAAGAAATTGAACCATCTTCCAATTGGTCATCCTGCAAATGCTTTCATTTTTTCACATATTACAAATACACTGAAGGTAAAAACACAACATTGAAATTATAAAAAGATTAATCATTGGAATAATTTATCAAGAAATTAAAAAATTATAGGAACAGAACTTTTTTGTCTTAAAATATCAATTTCTAAACAACTTTATATTCTTTTGGGAAAGCTTCAGTAGCCATCTACTACACTAGATATTATCTTTGTGCTTTTCAAAATATTATAACAAAAATACACCAATTCCCAAGAGTCTGTAGTGATAGAATAAAAAAGTTTTCTAAGTGATGGCGAAAACAAATATCAGCAATTACAGATATTTGTCATTCTTCCTGATAATATCAGCAATTAGTTGATAAATTCTCTGTTTGTTGATAAATTCTAATTGCTGATATCAACTAATATCAACTAATTGCTGATATTAGTTGATAAATTCTAAGAATGGCTCCTAAGGTTTGTCATTCTTCCTGATAATGAAACGGCAACCACCTAAACAGAGAATTTATCAACTAATATCAGCAATTACTTTATGCAGTAACTTACCTCAAATATGTTGTCATACTCCTCTAGAAGAGTTATTACTATGGCTTGAGCATGGTTAGCTGCTGCAGCAGCCTGCATAAGTTGAACAGAACCATCACCACCTAAACTAAAATCACTTTCAAGCTCACAATCTCCTGCCAGAAGGGGACGAAGAAGCAAAGGTGCCATGCAAGCTGCCACAGCAGATAAGCTCATCCTATTCTCAGATTTGTGAGAAGCTACTCTTTGCATCATCGTCAGAATTCTGAACCCAAAAGGAAGAAAAAAATTAATGAATGGACAAATGCAACTAATTGTGTGATCAATGTAAGAGTTCAAGAAGAAGAAATAAAGATATACATAAAACAATACCAGAAGACTATATCACGTTGGACCTCCACAACTTATAGCACAGTAAGAGAGGATTTTTTATTTTGCTCATAATTAGTTATCTTGCAGAAAAACATAGTGATAGTTACAGTGGATATGAAGATAAATTAGTGCACATGGAAGAAAACACAAAATCTATAGTTTTTGCAGTTACAGATGAAATGAAACATAATATCAAAGATTACCTTCATATTTCTCTTCACCCTTTCTTGTTCTATGGATATAACATTTCCCTACATCTCTCCAACCCTGGTCCAATCATTTTACAGACCTTGGAAGGTTTTAAATTTTGATAATTAGAAGTGCTATAGGATTTGATACAGGAGCTGCAAGCAATGAAAAAAATCCAGAGAAGCAGAAAAAGTAGAAACTTCAAGGAAACTTGATTTATGAGGATAGCCATCAACTCTGGGGACTACAACTCCAGCTACCCTATCTGGGCACTTCAATGGCACCCTTCTGGCTGCACACCTCATACTTCTGTTCTCCCCTCAAAATCGCTTTCTCTGTCTTATCTCTTTCTTTACTCTTCTACTTTCTATCTTCTTCTATCTTTTCATAAACAAGTTCCATGAATGAGTGAATCTCCAACAGAATTGCAACGTTTAGAGAGAAAAAGAAAACTTCTTAAAATAGAACAGGGATATTTTAGAATTTATTTATGGGGCTGTAAACTCTTTGTTTCAAATCCAGTTATGGGTTAAATATTGTAATCATTACACTAAACTAGGTTCACTAATAGGATTTTTTTTAGTTAGTAAAGCCATAAGTCAAAGAGATCACATCATCATAAAGAAGAAAACTGTAAGGAGGTGACAAATAGCTGTTAGGTGTCAAGTCACTAAGGTTTCTTGTTTTTTGATCAACAACAAGATAAAAAAATATTATACATCATTTTAAACAAGATTGAGGGCATAAATAGGCTATCCCTCACAATGAGATATTAAGATTTAGAACTTCACGCAAAACAACTGATTCCTATTCACCCCTTTCTTAGCTAAACCATCAGCCAAGTTGTTAGATGATATTGGAACCCATTGAGCTTTCACCTGTACATTCCTTGTTAACCACTTAAACTTCTTCATCTCATCCCAAATGTCCATAATGCTTTTTCCTCCTTCCTTAGCAAGATAATTATCACCTTAAAATCTCCTCCAATTAGCCCCAAGGAAAATGCTTTTGCAATCCCTTCATCTCTTATCACCCCTCCCACCCCAAAAGAACCTGAGTTTCCGTTGCTACTTCCAGCAAAGTTAAGCTTGAGATACCACCCACTTCCTTAGGATGCCATCAAATGAGAAAGGATTGAAAACCTCAAAAGGTTTTATCCAAAACACTGCTCTTATCTTGATATATCCAATCACTGCTTCCCTAGATCTTTTTTGCTCTTTGAATATCCTTTCATCTCTTTCTTTCCAAACAGTCCAAACAATAGCAGCCCTTATGCATCTCCACATTATTACATTATTCTTCCCCTTCTCCTTTTGTGTCTCAAAGTTCCCTAAGAGAATAAGTCGACCAACAAGCCAGATGAGCCAACCTGCACCCAAGCAAAGAAACCATTCCCAAATACTAACAATAAATGAATGGGAGATTATTAACTTATAGTTAGATTCATCACAAGCAGTCATATAACATGTCATAGCCTTAGTAAGAAAATCTGCTAGCTGAAGCCCAAAGAGACATGAGGAAGGAAAATGCGGCCTACAAGGAGGAGATCTCTAATAAAGTGATAATCCACTTCAATATGCTTTGTTCGCTCAAGGAAAACAGGGTTGGATGCAATCTTGATAGCACTGAGATTGTCAAAAAAGAGAGGAATTGGAGACAACAAATCAAAATGAAGGTCATGGATGAGGGCCTATAGCCACAGAATCTCACTACAAACTAGGGACATGCTCTATACTTCAAAGCTCCTAGGGAAGTAATGAAAGAGCATACCTGGAATCAATATTAGACATTTATTAATGTAGTTTGATGATATCCTCTCTGATCTTGATGGCTGATCAGTATTAGAATAAAACATTTTGTAAAGAAATCGAGAAAGAAAAAGAAGGGAAAAGAACTGAAAATCACACAATGGGCACCTAGAATCACTTTAGGTTTTATGAAATGGCTAACCATAGCATGATGGCCAATCTCCTTGAGAATAGAAAATTTTCAATCTTGCCTCTCATATTTCACCTCAAAGAAACTAAAATAACTCTTAGTAATAACTTTGAAAATTTAAACAAAACTAAACTATGATTGGAAAAATCGCAAATCAAATTCCTAGGGTGGATCCTACAAAATCATAAAAATACTGAAATACCTCCCAACTCGACTCAACTCAAGAAAACCTTATCCAACTATTTAGGATGTCCACCATTCCACTCTAGTATCATGTCCACTATCAAATCAAACCATTTAACCATATCAACTTGTTGAGAATATTCAATATGATGTAAGGGGTTTTTTTTTTGAGTTTTTTCCTCTTTTGTATTTGGGCGCCCAAGTAAGGGAAAACTTGTACTTTTCAGCAAAAAAATAAAATCTTTCTCTCTGGTGTGAACAGTATCCTGAGACACACCTTCCTAATTCTCTTCTTCTCTTCTTCTCCCATCTCCTCCTCCCTTCTCTTCTTTCTTTCTTGTTTTGGCTATACCTTAAACAACTTGGTATCACAACCACATCTGGATTCAGGGTAGACTTCTTCTGGTTTTTGTTACCCTAGAGGCAACCTACTGATGTCAGACTGCAACTGGATGATGTCAGTAGTCCATACAAGTGGCAGCAACCATCCTTGAAACTGGTATGGTCCAAATCATTAGGGATTTTTTGGTATAGGTTTCACCTCCATGCAAAACTTCTGTGATTTGTTATGATTTTTCCAAAAGGAAATTCACAGAAAATTCAGATTTGAGTTTGAGGCTGTTTCAGTTCCTTTAATGGACTGCTTCTCCTACAAGCCAATTTCATTTGGCTCGTTTTATATTTCTAGGAAGGCGGGAAGTGGTCCCATCATTTGGCTCGTTTATATTTCTAGAATTTTTTTTGGGATTTTTCTTCTTCCTATATTTTGCCTGCCCTTTGTAAGATCTGAGGATCAACTTGCCAACTACTTTACTAAAGGAGTTCACAAGCCAAAATTCGATAGTAACCTAGGCAAGCTGGGCATGATAGATATCTATGCTCAGCTTGAGGGGGTGGTGCTGAGAATATGGAATATGATGTAAGGGCTTTTTTGGGTTTTTTTTCCTCTTTTTTATCAGGGTACCCAAGCAAGGGCAAACTTGTACTTTTCAGCAAAATATAAAAGCTTTGTCTCTGGTGTGAACAGTAACCTGAGACAGACCTTGTAATTCTCTTCTTCTCCTCCCTTCTCTTCTTCTTTCTTTCTTCTTTTGGCTTCACCTTAAACAACTCTCAGCTGATGTCCTTTTTTCTACCCCTAATTCTTCTAGACCCTTTAACTCAATATCTTTTTTTTTGTTGAAGAATAAAGATAAATTCATTAAAAGAAAAAGAGAATACAAGAGAAAGGTGATAAGAAATCACCTGAGAGAAAGCAATAGACACAAATACGAACTCACTACCTTTGACACCAAATTACAGCCAAACATAACAAAAAATACAAGAGAAAGGTTGCTGTTTCCATTCTTATATAATTTCAAGACCACAATGGATCTATGATAAGATCGTTTATTTACAACAGAATGGTATACAAAGTCAACAGATCTCAACCAATGCAATAGGATTTATGGCTACACAAACTGTTGAGGGTAGTTCTAGATCTGGTCCAAGACGAACTATTATAGGGGATTTATTGAAACCATTGAATGTGTCAGAATTGAGAAATTCTATGGCTCAAATCTTTAGTATTCTCTTATTTATCACCTGTGTCCCTCGATGGGTAGAAATAGAAAAAATGAGTAAGATTTTAAACGGTTTGTTTATGTACAAAGTAACAAACATTATGATTGGATTAATGCCAAAAAATGAAATGACCCCTCCCCCGAATTCCTTCGGGTTGTGAGACACATTAAAATTCAATACAAAMTAAGTCTTGAAAATGAAAAAAATAAAGAAAACCAAAAAATGGGAGGGAGGGGTCAAACTTCTTGAATGAAAAAACAAAAGGCACACTTCCGGACACCTTCACACAGCTCCTTGAATCGCAGAACCCCGACATCATCTCCCTACTACTTGCCCTCGAACACTCCATCCTGCCTATCAACATCCTCATTCTACTTCTTTCATCCCTTCCCAATTACTACTTTCCCCAAACTCTCTTCCTTCCTCTTTCTCTCTAACTCCTCAAAAGCCTTCTTAAATTCCTCACCTCCCCAAAAAAATAAGCCAAGGCTTTTGCCAATCTCAACTTCTTTCTCCACTAACTTCTGAAGAGGCAAAGATCTGTTCTTTTTCGCCATTGAATTCTCGTCAACTTCAGATCCTTCAAAACTCTCTTTCTCATCTTTATGCACCTTACCTAGATGGGGATCCAATGATTGAGCTTGTATCATTGCTCCACAAAGACCAGAGTCTGATGGAGAAATGCCTCTCGATCCTTTTCTTTTGTAAACCCTTTCAAAACTTTTTGTAGGTCCTGCCCCCGCTCGACCAACAAGCTTCAACTAGGAAAAAATTTTTGTTACATGAACAACATGAGTTCTAGAAACCCGTGCTTACTTGCTAGTTAACCCATTATCTAACTCCACATTCTTCTCATCAACCTTGCTCTTCTGACCCAAATCGACACCCAATCTTCCAACCTTGCTCATCAACCTTAACTAAATATGCACATGATTAACCCATTTAGTATATTTTTCCTATTTATATTATAAAATACATTAAAAACAATAAATTTCTGTAATTCTATCCCATATTTTTAAA